CTTTATCTCACGGATGCTGTTCACAACAAAGTCTTATAGGAGAATTGACTTCAAGCTTTATTTTTCCCAGATATTTGTATCACATTCATCTGAAGTCTGGGTTTTTTGTTAATGCGAAGACAATATTTCTATGTCTCTTTTTATGTGTTACACAGACAGACTATTTTGCAGACTGTTCTGACTGACTCTAATGTTAGATTGAACAAACAAACTGTAATTTATATAATAACTTATCCATGCCTGTACAATTGGTATGTTCCTGCATAAACAGGAATAAATATAAATATATACAATTATGGAACTGGAGAAACACTTGTGCGAGTCTAACAGCAAAAATAGAAATATATAGCGAACCAAGCTAAAATGTAACGCAAACGTTGAACGCAGCGCGTGAGTTAGACGTGAAGAAATTAGGTCTTTTCATACTTAGCTACCGTCAGCTCAACAGTTACCGAATTATATCAACAAGATCGCAAATTGCCAGAATAACCAGCATAAAAACATTCTGCCACTGAATCACTGCTCGCTTCGTCATGGTAACTCACGGAGTGTAGTGCATCAGCGGGTAAAGACTTGTATGTACTTCAATTTCTCTTGAGTTTCAACGCCTTTGGAACTCTCCACCAGCAACTGCGGCCGCTGCATAGTCCCTGGAAAACTTTCAGTGGAGGCTGACAATCATGCAGAGACACAAGTACTGAGTTCAATCGGCCTATCCCCATTAAACTCACCCACTCTACTAGTATTCAAGTGTATAAACTCATTCTTTAACATTCTCTCTTGTCTCGCTCTTCTGATTACTCAACCCACTCATTAAATAATCCTTTTCTAGTTATTTTCACTTACTTTCTAGACGGTGAAATCTCATTATTTATCTGTTTGTGCGTTTTTCATTTTAAATCCGAACATTTCACACCATTTATATCGATTATTATTTGTTCCTACTGTTTCTGTTTTTGATCACACTGGACGACTGATACATCAAATGATCAATCCCATTCACAGTAGTCCCATGGTTTTAACACAGTGCGTATCACAAACCAAATATAACTGATTCCCTAACCAATCCCCTTGGAATCAATCAAAGAAAGGACATTCCAGTAGTGGGCGCATTACGCAGTTCATCAGAGATCTGAAACCCTTACATTACAACCAAAAAGCGAGCACAAAGAATTCAATTTAGTCTTCACTAGTTCGTTAAAACTATGTTGGATGACCTTAGTCAGAAACAAACCATATGATGAACGGCTAAAGAAATTAGGTTTCTTCACACCTAAATACCTCCGGCTTAGGGGGGACTTGACTGCTGCCTACAGGATTTTAAATGACCAGAATCACCCAGACATAGGTGTTCTGCCATTAAGTACGTATGAGGTTCCTCGTGGGAAGCAAACCCCGAACCATAAGGAGGCAGTAAACTAAGGCTTTAATACATCTGTGACACTAGAGCGATGCAGTACTGAGAATAACAGTCTGTGTTGCCTAAGTGTCCTACCTGAATCCATGGAATAAACTGCAGCGGACCGGTTCCATCAGAATCGGCCAACTATTCCCAACATTAAGTCCCCTACCAGCAGACAGCTTCACGTCAACTACGCCACAACACACTGAGGTTGTGACACTCACTGTCAGCTGCCTATATAGCGATGTGAGGGAGGCGAACTCCGAAATCTCCAATCACACCTACATCTTAAAATAATCATTCTCACTGAAACCTGGCTAACCCCCACTATCGCCGACAACGAAATCAGTAAAGGTGATATGGTTCTGGTCAGGAGAGACAGAAATAATAAGGAAGGAGGGGGAGGTGCTTTATACTTTGACAGGCAACTTGAATGCGTACGCGCAACGGACCCACCACTTATTGAACTCCCAGACTCCACATGGTGTCATTTCACCGTAGGCCACACCAAGCATTTACTGGGTGGCATCTACCGATCACCCAACTGTGAGGCAGAGCACAACCAGCTACTGCTCAGCACTATCACAGGGATACAGGACCTGGGCTATGACCAAATCACCATAGCTGGAGACTTCAATGCCCCATCACTGAACCTTGGCTCGGGATATGCTAAGGGAAAATTCAGCGAAAATCGAAATACAGGATTGACTGAGAATGTTGGAGACGACACTAGGTGGGGCCCTAGTGAAAAGTCATCAAAACTAGACTACATTCTAACTAGTGACCAACTACTCGTCGAAAAGGTCCAGATCATGACTCTAAGAAGTAGTAACCATGCAGTCATAGGTTTCGATCTCGTTCTCCGTGAGCATTTGCAGTGGGACGTTACGCGACCATGTCTGCGTTATAGCAAGGCTGACTATGCTGAAATGCGGAGGCTCTTGTCCGACGCAGACTGGCCCTTAGCATGGGATGAGCTATCTGTGGATGAACACTGGGAAGTGGTAAAAGAGATTATTCATACAGCAATCTGGGATACACTCCCTTTAGTCACAACACAGACCAAAAGAAAGTCATCATGGCTGAAGATAGACACGCAACGTATTCTGCAAGCAAAGCGGAAGGCTTGTTCTACGTGGCGCGTATCTAAGAGTCAGATCGATCACGACGCATACCTGGAACTCAGGAACCGGTGAAAGGCGAGAGTTAGGATTGACAGGAGGTCATCCCAGGCTAACCTTGCCAAAAAACTAAACCCCAAATGGTCAACATTTCACTAGTCTGCAGATGGCTGAAACATTCAGTTTAGCCTTCGCCAAACAGCTAAATAGCAATGTGGGTATTACCGGTACGGTCCAAAATGGTGGCACTATTGTTTCACAGGAGGAAGACCTAGTGGCTACTCCCCAAACAAACCCGGCAACAGTACTAGGGAAGCTACAGCGATTCACACCTGGAAAGTACCCAGGTTGTGACGACATCAGGCCATCTGTTCTGAAGCTCCCAAGCTCTCTGCAGGTCCTTATGCGACTTGTTCCAACACTCAATGGATTCAGGGAAACTGTCAAGGGAGTGGAAAAGAGCCATCCTTTCCCCAATCTTCAAGGGTGGGGATAGGCAAAATGCCACTAGTTATAGACCAGTAGCTCTAATTCCAGTGGTATCGAAAGTACTGGAAAGTATTATTGACGATCACAACAGGGATTACCTCGATAGGTCTAATATATTCCATGAAGCCCAACACGGTTTCAGGAAAGGCAGATCCTGTGTTACTAACCTACTATCAACTTGGGACGATTGGAAATCATGCTGGGAGTGAATGTACCAGTCCATGTGATCTTCCTAGACGTTGAGAAGGCATTTGACACAGTTCACCATAAACTTCTCCTACACAGGTATAGGTAAGCCACTTCTGCCATGGTTAAGGGACTACCTAGCTGAAAGGCAATTTTGCACTAAGGCCAATCGAGTCCGATCATCTTGGCACAGCTCGTCATCAGGAGTGTCACAGGATTCAATCCTAGGACCACTGATGTTTTTGATTTTTATCAATGATCTAACATGCCGCCTAAGTTGCTTGACTCTTCTATACGCTGACGACGCGAACATATGGAGGGCGATAAAGTGTCTGGAGGACTCAGATAGGCTGCAGGCAGACCTAAAGCTTCTGGAAGACTGGGCGGTGGCCAGTGGCATGACTTTCAACCTGAAAAAGTACAAAGTAGTGAAGTTACGCACCTGTAGACTGCAGAATGCAAGTTACACGCTGTGCAATGAAAGCTTGTCCCGCACAACGTCGGAGCGAGACTTAGGTCTAGACACAAACGTAAATTACACGGGAGATGTAGCGAGGGTATGTGCGGTCGTACACTTTACACTTAGACAGTTAGATGCACTCACTCTTGAGCTCTTTCTAAGGTTGTACAAAACATACGTCAGACCACACATTGAAATGCATAATATTATTGCACCCCCAATGCTTAGAAGAGACGCCAACCTCTTGGAAAGAGTCCAAAGACGGGCAAAAAAGGAGTGGTTGGTCTCCGAAATAAACCATATGATGAAAGGCTAAAGAAATTAGGCCTATTCACACTTGGCTTCCGTCGGATTAGGGGGATTTGATTACTGCCTACAAGATAACAAATGACCAGAATCACCGAAACAAAGGTGTTCTGCCATTGAGTAGGTATAGGCTTCCTCGTGGAAATCCCAGAATTATAGCTCACCAGAGGACAAGGACCCGGTTGCGCTCCCACTTCTTTTCACTAAGGGTTTGCCGTCCCTGAAATTCTTTACCGGTTGATGTAGCTATGGCACCTTCTGTGGAGGCCTTTAAGCGAAGGATGAGCAATCATGTAGTGACACAATGACTGCGTCCGAATGGCCTATCCCCTTAAAATCACATATATTATTCGGGGGTGGACAAATAAGTTCGTCGTTTTACATTCTCCCCGTCTACAGCTACACTTATATTATTATTATTACCGATATATATACATATATATATCAACTTCAAATTTAATCAGCTCACTGTTGTTACATTTTCTTTATTTCTTTTTCTGTCTGTTAGTATGAATAACTTCACTAATTATATCTATTATTATCATTATCTCTTTTCTTTTGACGACGATACTGGAGGACTAACTGTTGGAAGGATCAACTCCATTCACAGTAGTAACAGTCTTAACACACCTCATACTATTATTATATACATATATATAATATAATAATATATAATTAATCCCAGCACTTCTCCTTTTGGAGTCAACCAAAGCTACGACAGTCGAGCGGCGGGACGAGCTACGCAGAAGTTTACTGAAGATCAGGAGCCTATATCTCACAATCAAGAGGAGGGCACAACGAAATCAAATTGGTTTATACCAACTCGTAAAAACGATATTGGATATTGGAGTAGCACTTTTAAATGGTACGTTACAAGTGTCCTCACTTGGCATTTTGAGGATTTTCTGTAATCCTACTTGATTTCTGACTTATTTTTTCGTTTCAGTCGTTCGCCAATAATTTGTTGGCTTCTGTCGTTACCAAATGTGGAAGCGTTTTGTTCGCTCACCAAGATGTGTGTTTGTCTGAAAATATTTGTGGGTATACCAGCTGGCCCACTACCATAATGCTAAATTAAATCTCACTAATTCTGAAATAATTCTCACGTTCTATAGTGAGTACTTCTGAATTTCTGAATATCTTAGCAATAGAATTTCAGAGAGATCAGAACTATGTTGCTTATAGGTTTCAGCCCTCACAGGACATATTCAGCGCGGACTGGCGTTACTTCAGAACGAAAAGACTTAATTCAGCACCCAGCTCTCTTTTTAAGCACGACCAGCGTCATTTCAGAACATAGTGTGTAGATAAAATCTTCATTTACCATAAAAAGGCATTATCGAAGAATAGGTTAGAATAAGTTTAGAATTGTTGTAAGCTTGGGGCATTGTCATCGGGCGCATAGCCGAATGTTTGGGGCAGACTTTGGGCGCATTGCAGAATGTTTGGGGAAGGCCTGGGGGCCTTTTCCCCTGCTCTTCAATGAGCCCGAAACAAATGCCAGCTGGGTAACTGTTCACTGTTCAAAACGTAGGGTATACTGAGGACTCTGTGGAAATTCCTTGCAAAATTTCCTGCATCCCTATGTGCTCTACCAGCTGTTTGTGGCTTCGTGTGCGTCGGTGGCATATTAGTTAGGACGCTCACTGACCATGCACATGGTCCAGGGTTCGATCCCCGGCCGACTCACACCTGATATCAATGGTTGGGGTGCTAAGTTTGGTCTGCAGATGTCACATGCTGAAAATTCCACAGTTGTACCAAATATACTGTGTGAAATCAAGCTATAATAAAAAACAATAAAAAAGTGTCCATTTTAATTCTTTCCATCACTCATACTTTATGAAATTGTGTTTATAGCGAATCAATTTAGGAATCATGTGCTACTTGTGGTTGTTCCAGAGGGAGGATGTCTCGCTTACTTCCAATGATATTTATTCGCCTAATGGGAAAGCCAAGTAGGGCTATATGGTGTCCATATTTATTCCTTGTAAATCACAGCATTGTTATTAATTAATACCCAAGATGGATTTAAATCTCTGTCTAGGGTGCAGTAGTGAGAGAATACTTGATATTTTTTGTCTGCCTTTGCATAATGAGATGGCTAACTATTCTCACAGTACGATTATACCAGGAATTGTGTATACGACTGTCCATCAGCGAACCTCAGTTAGAGTTTCTACAACGCATATAGGTCGCTACTGATAAAAGCGCTCGCTGGTGGTACTCAGATTTCTAATTCGAGCGTCACTGTGGCTGATTATGTATACAATGTGGTGAACATCCTTGAAGACGTTCCACGTATTGTTCGGGGTCGTAACAGTTTGCTCTAGTTTTCAAGTCCTGTTAAATCTTCATGTCGTTAGTGTAGAGAATAATAACAATCCAAACACTATGATTTGTGGCAAGAGGCTATATATATGGTTGTTAGCGGTTGGTTGTTGTACTTCATCCGTACATGGCAGGAAACACTGTTACCTGGAAGCAGTTTTTAGTTTCGTAAGTAACTTAGCACTGGCACTTTGTAACGAGTTACTCAAAAATCGGTTAATATTATGTCAACACATTGTTTTGTTGCATGTCCGACTCATGTCTCATCAATACTTCTTACAGACAAGGTGTTCTTCGGCCAGACGATATTACCAACGTCTGAAAATTGTTCTGTCTGATCCCATGCACGGTTGCCTTTAAGATCAATCACGTTTGTGCTAATCCTAGAATGAGACATATATCAGGAGGCAGTTATGTTAGAGCTGTATAGATCAGCTGTGTTATTTAGTGGGGTCTGCTTGTTAGTTAACTGTGAGAATTTGTATTTTGTACCATTAATTCCGTTTAGTTTCTTTCGTGCTGTGTCTGCATATGTTGCTGAGCATATGGTCTGGACATTTCACAACCCGTCAACGTCTAACGATATTTCGCCTAGTGCAAATTTGTAAATCATTCAGTTCCATGTATAAAGACTTCATCTTAATGTAGTTCGGTTGCTTGGTTGTTTGAATAAACACTGTGTTCTTATTTCTATCGTTTACTGGATTTTATGACTTTAATACTTTGATATGTTATTGCTAATATTAACGATTGGGGCGTAAACCTACGAATAACCGTTGCGTTTTATCATTGGTTTTGAACGCGGTATCCCTATCGTTGACGTTGAATGTAACTTCCGACCTATCAGCAACTTTTCTGCTTAGTGTGACTTACTTCACTTATTGCATTTAACTTTCTTACACATATAGTGAAACGTTCCTCAGTGGGAGTTAAAGGTGTGTGATGTTTTTGAAATTCTTCGCATTCCATTTTTAGTTTTGATCTTTGAGTTTTGATCTTTGCGTTATCTTATCCCCTCTTTTGTACATTATTAACTTTGTCAATTGCCTTTTCTATGTGCTTATTCTGCTTCAGATCCCCATACTGGCTGAGTAAATTACCCCTGCTAATCATTCACAAAATCTGCCAACTTCTATTCATCATTCTACGCACAATCTAAATTGAAGTCTATTGACATTGAATTTTAAAATCCATTAATTGAGCGGTTTGAATCAAGCCTTTATTGGAGAACGTTATTTTCAGTGGCGTGAACTGTCATTTTCTCTCAAAATATAGTATGTAGTTTTTTTTAGTTATATTGATTTATTAGTATGAAAATAAATTATAATCAGTTCAAAATTGCTTTGTGGATATATAAGATAAAGTGTGTTCTCATAGGTCATTGTCATGATCAAATCTATCCTCAGTACCTAACAAATCACCTTTTCAGTTTCTGTACCCGTCTGCAATTCGGAGCTTTCTAAAAAGGATGTAATGTGGTAAGATTACCACTCCTTGTAGTGGTATAAGTTCTGCTTGCTGCCTATTGTTGTGCAGCTTTAAGAAGAAAGTAAACAGCAGTACACCACTGTTTGTAGTTCGTGACCTTTAAATTGTTATATGCTTTAATCAACTCCTAGCTTTATTGATTTCTTTGTATTTAAGATGTCTGGGGATCTCTGGACGTCATTGTGTTTGGTATCGACGATATATTTTCGTTATTTCACTATGCAGTAGTTTGGGTTAAAATTAGAGCAGATCAATTTGATCTGAGAGATTAGACGTCTGTTTTAATTATATCTTGGAGGAAGAATTCCTTATCTCACTGTAGAGTGAAAATAACTGATTAACTGACCGGTTTCAACATAAAGCTTTGGACAGCAGTACAGTAGTTGCCACACTGCACACACACACATAAAGGAAAACGGAAGAGAGAAAAAAGAAATTCGAAAGAATGATAATAAGCAGAAATGTGAGGGAGAAAGGTAATAGTAGGATGGAGAAACAATAGAGTCTAATAGATATGAGGAGATCACAAACAGTGAATGCATCTCCACCACTGAGAACTATTTTGAGCCATATCACCAATAATTTCCAGCCATTGGTTCTTAGAATCTCGAGTACCCCAACTAGGAAGCCTACATCCCCCTACATCACTGGCTCAAAATAACTGTCAAAGATCTCATGGAGTGATTCCAAGTTTTGTTTGACCACCACTAACTCTTTTCCAACCTGATCTTATGTCAGCTAACATTGCCCGTTGTCGAGGAAGGCGATGGTTAGACAAGCCTAACACATGTCATAGCCATCGCAGTCGATGTAGCTTCACATCCTCATTGAGTGACTTTCTCTCCTATCCTGGCACTCAATATTCATCACTATAAAGGGTAAAATGAACTGATGTGCAGTGCATCGTGGATAAGTATGTCGGTGTTTTTATTACAAGTGCTACACAGAGCAACTTACCGTAGTTCGGTTTGTGTGTATTTATTCATCAATGTTTTAAGTTTTCTGTCATCTGAAACATTGTTAACGATGATTTTGTACTTTCATTAACCTATTCTTAAGAAGATCACTTTTTATTTTGGTTTGTCGTTGTCATTGGGCTTCGTGTACTTTTGGAAGTGTGTGTGCGGTTGTTACCTGACGGCGGCCCACACCGTGGAAGTTGATTGATTCTTCGGGTACCTGAAACACAAAGAGGGTTAGTGTCGCGTGACCGCAGAGCCTAGGGGACAATTGCTTGGCACCGGTCACACATGGCCTGTATGATCTTGTTTCTTGGATTGGTTCAGTATTAGTAAATTTACCTCCAGTTACGAACCACCGTAGGATAAGTTGGGGTGTACACTTTTTGTGGTCGACCTTTTCTAACCCTTTCCCTCCAGAGTGAAGAGACAGCATAGGTGGCATGCTGGCCATCTGGGGGGAACACCTTACTGCTGTTACATCCTTGTTCCCCAGCAGTACGACTTCGCCCACAGACCCCCGGCATAGTTTAAAAATATTCTTACACTATGCCGTAGCTGCTTTTTGTCTAGTCGCTACCCTAACAACCTTCGTGGTATGGTAGGACCTGCGGGAAAAATAGTTCCAACCAGTGTAGCTTGTTGGGTCAGTGTGATATGCATGCCCAACCACCACGTCAAGGTAGCAGCTATCGGTCGGGTTGACATTGGACATTCGAGAAGTGGATAGTATCGTTCTCATATTGATTATTTTAGGTGTACTGAATAAGTGGTCACGGTTGATTTCTTTGTATGTATCCCAAAAATTTGTCAGTTCTGTGTAAAATATCATACTTTCGACTACTTAAGTTGTGTAAGATGCCTTATTAGTTTAGATACTTACCTTTTTTGCAGAGGCTTGTAGGCTGAGACTGAACTCCATCCATTTGGATATCGAATACTGACTATTATCGTAAGTTGTTAAATGAAATGAATTCCACGGCCTAGGAGATATAACCATACCAAATTGCTAAGCTACAATCTTCAAGAAGTTAGATGTTCTATTTTGCTTTTTAAGTTATTGATGCTGAAAGTATAAGGGTCAGTGAAGTAGGATGTCTAGAAGGCTGTATAAGATATAATGTCATGCATGTAGTTCTTTGTTTGGAGCAGACTGAATTCTACCAGTCAAAGTTTGCAATGTGGCCACTATGATAGGTGACTCGCTATCACTGTGCTTGTTGTTAATAGTATCCAGTTAACAAGATGTTGGGAGAGATGAAGAAAAGTAAGCTTACTGACACAAATACCATGGATCAATGCAATGCTCAACTCGTGTTGTTTGTTTCTCTTTCCTAGTTAAGTATAGAATGATGTTGTTGAGTATATAATGATGTTGGATATCTTGTTTCTTTCCAGATATTGGAGGTAGATTCAACTTATCATAAACATAGCCTAGATGTCTCGAACCGGCGCAGCCGCATAACATCCTACAGTGGGTTGTCATCTGAAGTGATGACAACTAGTGGTGTCCGTCAGGGATGCCCACTGTCCCCATTTCTGTTTAATTTCATAGTAGATACACTAATGGAATTAACCCTAACTGCTGACTTCAGTGACTCACGGATTGACTTGTTACCATCAGGGAATAATTTTATTATTTTTATTATTTTGATTACAGCTTGATTCCACACCGTATTTTCAGTACAAGTATGGAATTTTCAGCATGGATATCAGTAGCCCAAATTTACAGGCCGACCATAGATATCGGGTGTGCGCCGGCAGGGGATCGAACCCCGGACCACTGTGCCACCGACGCACCGACTTAGAATATGTGGATGATATAGTCCTCTTGGGTGAAGATGATGAAAAGCAGTCTTCTGAACACCTTGAAGAGTAACCATCTTCGAATATTCGACATGCGATTCGTTCCCATAAAATGTAAGATGATACTACAAGAATGCACTACATTGACTCCTAGCTTAAAGATAGAGAGTGAAGTGGTTGTTGAGCGTGTTGACCATTTGACTTATTCGAGGAGTTGCATCAGCTAGCGCCGGAAGGTTGATCACTGACGAAATCTCAGCACCGATACAGAAGGCTTGTTTCGCAAACACCAGTTTACGGCGTCTCTGGCTTAGTAGAAACGATATCCGGCTAGCCATTGATAAAAGGGCGCGTGTGCTACTCAGCAGTCTGCTCCATCCTCCTTTATGACTGTGAGACATGGCCATTGAAAGTAGAAAGCATCAAAAGGCCAGCCAGCTGTCTTTGACCATAGGTATCTGTGTTCTATCTCCAGTGTTACGTGATGGTATAATAAGTTGAGCAATACTGAGGTTAGGCATCGGTCGAGTGTTAGGCTGGAAAAGTTTTATAACTCCGTTGCCAATTTGTTATAACTGAACTGAACTGAACTGAATAAATCCTTTGCTACTTTGTTATATGTGCGCCTGCTAATTACTATAAGGGTAATGAACTCGACTGGTACGTTAGGATGCCTATTTGTCCGTTGTACCTTCTGATTTACTGAGACACGCAAATATCAAAAGACAAAGGCTGGTCTGTGACTGTACTATACTACATAGTTTAAGAAACATTACATGATATTTATACATTTTCTCAACCATAATAAAGTTGGCTCACGATCGTGGGAATGGACTATTGGACTATTGGCTAGAAACGTCTATTCTGATTGGTTGGTGATCCGACAAAGACCAAGGTGAGACAAAAGACGATGAATTGGTCACACACTAAATCACATTATGCGTGAGAATGATAGATCCACATAATAACTCCAGGGCATGATAAATCACACGATTCGTGAGAAAGGATGATATACTATTTTATGTTGGGTCTTGTCAGTAAGGAGGAGAAATCAATCGACGAGGTGGTTGTGAGGCAGCTGAATCGATTGAGATGGTTAGGACATGTGTTACGCATGCATGCCTAGTCATCCATCGCCTTCCTCGACAACCGGCGATGTTAGCTGACATAGGATCGGTGAGGTTGGAAAAGAGCTAGCTACTGGTGGTCAAACCAAAACATGACTTCATCAGTCAGTGAAATCCACAACAGTTAGTTTATGCCAGTCAGCCACATAAGGAGGTGTAGACTACCTGACTGGTTGGGGTCCTCAGGATGGTATGAACCAATAAAGGCTTTAGACAATTGGTGATACGGCTCAAAATCATCCTCATTGATGGAGCAGATGCATTAACTCTTTGTGGTCTCTTATATCCATCGAGCTATCATGTTTCTCCTTTAGATATCTGCTTACTATAGTACTTTTGAATGCATCTTCTTCCTTCGTTTGTGTTCTTTTGTGTGCTACATTGTGTGACCATTTGAACTGTTACACCTGTCTGTACAAAGTTGTGTGTTGAAACCAGTCAGTCAGTCAGTCTAGGTGTTATCTGTTTGGAGGTAGGTAGGGAATCTACTCTTAGGTGTTGGCTTTTTAGTGAGTTGTGTTCGTTCTTTTTACACCGACTTTAGATAGTCATTTTCTAAGAACAATATTAAACGGGCAACTTAATTGAGTATGTTAATCGTTTGAGATAACTGTGGTGATAGATGGTTGCTAGCCAAATTGGTTGACAGTAATTGAGGTCAATGATAGTCATATGGAAACAAGGTCAAGATGGACAGGCGGATACAGTTAACATATAAATGAACTGACACAGCCACAAGAGATGCAAGGTTAATTTTGTGTGAGAAACAACCAATCAACAGACTGTATTTTCTACTAACATTAACCTACAATAATGTACATCAAAATCTATAAATACGTGTTGATTTTCCGTAATAAAGGTTCTGTTGCCTGGCCCTTGTCTTCTGTTGTTACATAACTTCTGTCATTTCTTTTACATGACTTATGTGAGTATCCGTGATACTATGCTGTCAGAGCTCTACAATCATATTGCTAATTATTGCTTAGTATGTGAACAGGTTATGGTAAATTATGTCCCCTACAAAGTTAGGGTCATTTGTTTCACTTCAAATAGACGAGGATATAACATCTGTAGATTATGAAAAAATAGTGAACCACCAACATTTCTATGCTGTTAGCATTCAACCAGTCATCTATTGTGCGAAGAGTAATGATGCTACCTTACTGGTGAAGGGAAGTTTGAAGTTGACCTCCTAGACTCTTTAATAAGCTTAAGCTCCCCTTTTTTTACCCTCTGTACTTATTAGTCATGAATTCATGTGATAAAACGTCTACCATTGTTATTCATTCCTGGTGTTCCTAGTGGGACATAGGACTTATCTCCACCGCACTCAGTGCTTTGCAATCATTCTAACCTGGTTCCGAAACTGCCCAAAAACTTTGATTCCCTCTCCTGTCCATGTCCTCCTCGGGAGTCTAACCCATCGCTTGCTTCCCATTTGGGTTCCACCTGAGGGTATCTCATCACAGCGTATATCCAACCCACCTCCATTTCCTTCCGAGTCTGGTTTCATTCCTGGAGTTCCTTATTACTTATCCTTTCTGGCCAACCATCTGATCTGCAGTATCGAGCGAACTGGGCAGGTATTTGTGAAAGTCTTCAGTGGACTGTTGAGAAGACATCAAGCTAAGTCTCTAAACCATAAAGAATCCCTGATTGACTTGGCATTACTTTTAGAAATTTGGATGTTATGCCTTGTGATGAGTACTGTAGATTCCCACAGTTATTTCAAGGTACTGGACGCTTGTCTTGCTTTCCTCATCCATACAACCAACTGTTGGTTATTCCTCTGTCAAAGTCCTCAATTATTAAGTTTATCTTTATAAAAATATGCAATATTTTCAACTCCAATGTGAAGTCAGTGCTACTATATGGGTCAGAGACTTGGCGCGTCATAAAGAGCACCTCGAACAAACTACAGACCTTCGTCAAGAGCTGCTTTTGCTCAATACTGAAGATCAGATGGTCAGAAAAGATCAGTAACAGGGGTCTCTGGGAGCAAACCAACCAGGAACCGATTGTGCAACAAATAAGCAGGAAGAAGTGGAGGTGGATTGGCCATACTCTAAGGAAACCATCAAGTGACATCACTAGACAAGCCAGTGCTCGAGTGGAACCCGAAAGGGAAACGGCGAGTTGGTCGTCCAAGGGTGACTTGGAGGAGATCATGTGAAGAGGACATGAAAGCATGTGGACAGACCTGGAGCCAGGTGAAAACTTTAGCAGAGTACCGAACACAGTGAAGACGTGCAGCTGAGGCCCTATGTTTCTCTAGGAATTAAAGGAAATAATAATAATAATTTACTGATATCCAGTATACATATATATCTTTTAACCCCTATACTATTACAATTTCATTTTCTTATAGTTAATTAAAAATGGCCAAGACGTCTTTACCAGTTAAAATGGAGATTGATTTAACTACTCAAGTTGCTGAAGCTGCAAATATTGATCGAAATCTTGTCAGTCGTGTTATCCCAATGTTTGAAGATGGTTATACTGTACCGTTTATTGCACGTTACCGTAAAGAAATCACTGGTGGAGTAGAACCAACAGTGTTGCATAGGCTGAAAGAAAAAATGAATGATTGCAAGTAAGTAATTATATGCATAAAAAACACAACAACAACAATATACTACTGATTGGTTGATTGAGATGAGTAGTTATATACATACCACTTATATACTAAATAGTAGTGCTTGCTAACTCATCAACAAACAGTGTATACCCAGTTTGAGTCAATTCAAACTACACTCGATTTCTGGCTATAGCTACTTATTGGACGTATTGGTGAAAGCACGACTAACTAATTTGTAGGTCATGTATTTCACTTAAGTAAATTATAATTTTAAGTTTTGATTACACAGATCGATATCAGTGTTAGCGAGAGCCATTGTAAATCACTAAGGAGTACTGTGAAACAGGCAGCTGTTCCTCTTGAGTACTTCGGCCTCTTCATCGGTACGCAGGAATCGAACTTCAGGAACTTTAGGTTGCGAGATGAGCTCACCCACCGACCAACACTTGAAAATAAATCTGACGACTATGGGACCACGTTGCCTGGAATCCTGGTGGGAAGTCGTAACCAGCGCGCCTTCTACCAAGTAGGGTGTGATGACATTGACTAGCGGTGGCCCTAAAAGTTGCTACTGGATTCATTTTTCAAATGGCTAAATGGTCAACAAGCTCACCTTGTAACCTGAAGGTTGTGGGTTCTCGAACCCCTGTTGGGGGTGGGGTGGTCATGGGTGCGTACTGGTGAAGGGTCCCATAAACTAGGACGAAACAACTGGCCGTTCATAGTACTCCTTGATAGTTTTCATTGGTTCTCTAACTGATATCAATCTACAATCAAAAAAAAATCCGTACAAACTAACACGTGAAAGTTATACTTTTCTCCTTCTCCTTTACTTTTAGAATGCTGATTGACAAAATAGAAAAGTCGATGCAATTCTTCAATAAAAGTGGTCTACTTACCGATGAGTTATCACAACAGTTAATGCGGTGTAAAACCACCGAGGATATCAAACTGTTAGTAAGTTTTTTTACAATAAAAATTTTAGTCATACCAATTCATTTTTCCTGCTTTTCTGCTTTATTTTTTTATTTTTATTTTTTTGGTAGACAGATCCATTGAAGCCTAAAGGTCCACGTACATTGGCTGGTAAAGCAAAAGCTGCCAACTTAGAGCCTATTGCTCTTGATATCCTCTATTCTTATAAATTTGTTGATATTTACTGTCGAGCTACTTCCGAAGCTAAAAGTAAGTGGATTTTAGTGTGTATAATTTTGAGTCTTTTCACAAAGTTTTAATTATCATTATTATTATTCGCTTGGATTCCTAGTGAAAAATAGGGCTACAACGACACATCCCGACTTCATCCTGTTCTCTGCTGTCCTCTTTATCCGACTTTACGATTGCCCGTGGTCTCTCATCTCCTCACACCATCTCCTCCCCCTCATCCTCCATGTCATCCTTGGACTCTCTCCCAACTCGTTGTTTCCCATTCGCGTTCCACTCAAGGCTGTGCCTGTTGCGCGATATCATTAGACAGTCTCTTCAGCGTGTGACTGATCCGTCTCCTTTTTCTTCTGCATATTCGTTGAGCGATGAATTCTTCGTTGATTCGTTTCCAGAGTGCCGTGTTGCTGATTATTTCTGGCTGATCTTTAGTATGGAGCCAGCAAAAGTCGCTGTTGGTAAAAGTCTGCAGTGACCTGTTAAAAATACTTTTCGTGACTCATCAAGATTCTGACCCACAACTGACTTAACATTTTTGCTGAAAATTCAAAGCTTGTTCTTAATGATGATGATGATGATGAGTGAGTGAGTGCAGAAGATTTCCGAACTGATTTCATGGTGGTGAAGATCTGTCCTGCCTGGCTTTGATATCCACCTCCTTGGCCGTCAGCCTGTAATTGAAACGGCGCTTCCTAGTTCAGCCAAAGAAGTGACCTCCTTTTTTAATTTCTTACGTAGATAATGACTGGTACTGGTTGACTGATAAAGTCATTTTTTAGTTTGACCATCAGTAGCTAGCTCTTTTCCAACCTCACCGATCCTATGTCAGCTAACATCGCCGATTGTCGAGGAAGGCGATGGATGACTAGGTATGCATGCGTAACACATGTCCTAACCATCTCAATCGATTCAGCTGCTTCACAACCACGTCGTTGATTGATTTCTCCTCGCCTAACGTAGCACTCGACCGATGCTTAACCTCAGTATTGCTCACCTTATTATACCATCACGTAACACTGGAGATAGAACACAGATACCTATGGTCAAAGACAGCTGGCTGGCCTTTTAATGCTTTCTACTTTCAATGGCCATGTCTCACAGTCATAAAGGAGGATGGAGAAGACTGCTGAGTAGCACACACGTCCTTTTATCAATGGATAGCCGGATATCGTTTCTACTAAGCCAGAGACGCCGTAAACTGGTGTTAGCGAAACAAGCCTTCTGTATCGGTGCTGAGATTTCGTCAGTGATCAACCTTCCGGCGTTAGCTGATGCAACTCCCCAAATAAGTCAAATGGTCAATACGCTCAACAACCACTTCACTCTCTATCTTTAAGCTAGGAGTCAATGTAGTGCATTCTTGTAGTATCATCTTACATTTTATGGGAACGAATCGCATGTCGAATATTCGAAGATGGTTACTCTTCAAGGTGTTCAGAAGACTGCTTTTCATCAGCATCTTCACGCAGAAGGAGGACTATATCATCCACATATTCTAAGTCAACGAGATTATTCCCTGATGGTGACAAGTCAATTCCTGAGTCGCTGAAGTCAGCAGTTAGGTTTAATTCCATTAGTACATCTACTATGAAATTAAACAGAAATGGTGACAGTGGGCATCTCTGAGGGCAGCACTAGTTGTCATCACTTCAGAGGACAACTCTCCGGATTTTCTCACCTGGCTGGCTGCATGAGTTCGAGTAGATTGCCTTGATCAGAGCGATGTATTTTCTCGGCATTCGCTTCACACTCAGACATCGCTGTGTTACCTCTCTGTCTGCGGGACCGAATGCCGCTTTCACGTCAAGAATTGTGATGATTGTTGGATATCGGTAATTATATCTATATTTCAGAATCTGTCGAAGGGTGAATATAAGATCAATACAACCTCTTCGTGGTCTACAGGTTGTAGATCTGTAGGTGAAGTGGATGGATAAGTAGACTAAGGAAACAATGAGAAGCTTCAATTGCAGCGGGAATTAAAATCAAATTAAGCTTTTCTTTTGAATATACAACGAACAGAGTTGTTCCCTCTAATTGCTGTTACTTTCAACAGTGTATAAGAAATGAGTTTGAGCTCCCATCGGAAGGTTCAATGGAAGGTAGTAAATAATTGTAAAAGAATTGATCCTGTCCTGCTACTATTATACCATGTCAAGACGAATTGGAAGTTCACCGATGGGATTGGTTGGGCAGGAGTTAGAATTGATTGGGTCATTGATTTCTGGGCTAATTGGCTGAATAAGTGATCAACAAACTTAGGCTTGTATCCTGAAGGTTCCGGGGGTCGTGCGTGCACGCCATTGAAGAGTTCCAGTAACTAGGACGAAACAGCGGTGTCCCGTACTCCTCCCTAGTCTTCCGTGACCTCTCTATAACTGATGGTAGTTCGTGACGGGAATCTAACAATTGAAATTCATCGGAATTCCTCAGAAAAACTCGTAATCTGCATACTTACAGTTTTGCTATATAATTACTCTATATTATTCTGCTTGTAATTATACTGTTTTGTTTTTGTGCTTATTATAGCGACATTCCAGTCGAAATCAGCACTTGAAGATGCTGTACGTCACATAATTGCTGATATATTTGCTAAAGACTTAGACATAATAAGGAAGGCTGAAGAATTGTAAGTTATGCATTATTTTTGTTTTGATCATATTTATTAAAATATTTTCTCAGTTTTCCTAAGAAAATACTTAAAATACTCATAGATTCTTTGATTGGACACTAGGCAGTTAGTATCTAGTTAGTTGTACGTCTAATCCTTTGTTTGGTGAAGACTAAAGTTTACAATGTGGCCACCAACAAGCCTAGGTCGTTCGTCATCACGGTTCACCCTGGATTGTTATATCTCAGAAGGGAAATGAGTTCCCTCAAAACTGTCGATACACCTTGATGGCGAGTGCTAAAAATCATGAAACCTAGGCCCAAGGATTCCTGCCGATTGCCTCCAACCACCTAATAACAACAATACTCATGGATTATTTATATATAATTGCATCTGTTGCAATGGTTGTCTGAGTAATATTTCGAGCAAAATTACTGCCCGTGATCACACCAACTGCTGGAATTGTGTTTTTCTTTAAATTCCTGAATATATTTAGTAATTTTGGTGGATGGATGGTGACTAGCACTGGTAGAATCCGGGATGCGCATTTCATCCTAACTGTGGGACTTGTCATCTGTGTGTGTGCCTGCATCCTCTCAGTGAGTAGGCGATGGTTGTTCCCTCCTAGAGTCGAACCCAGTGCCCATCGTTTCAAACGGCGAAGCGTTACCAGACCGCTAGACCACATAAGCTATGAGAGCCAGTCTGGCGGATAACGATTTGACGTTTGAAAAGATGGGTATTGGGTTCGAGTCCTACTGGGAAAACTATCACTTACGGAGGAACATAGGTACATCCAGACGACGAGTTCCATGGTTAGGACAAAATTTATATCCTGGATTCCACCAGTGCTAGTCACCAAATTACTTCGAGTTAATCCTCAAACATTGTGGAAGCTCCTGTACTGGGAGCCAACGTATTAAAATTTTTGTTCAATCAAGGATAGGGAAAATAAAAATTGAATTAAAAACAAATAATGTGGTGATTTTATTTTGTGATTACATCGGTAGTTCAGCGATAGGAATAATCACCAGCCACGCTTCACGTGGTCTGAGATACGATCTCCTACCGACTCACTGACTGGCAAGTCTCGCCCAGGCGGGTTGTAAGCTCGGTAAGGAGGCTAGCAACCTCACTCCGTAAAAAGGAAAAAAATACCAGTGCTACTGAGATTTCAGAACTCAAAGCTTGGGGCTGCGAATGTTCCACTTGGAACGGACAGTTGTGCTGTGAGTCACCTTTGTTGTATTTGATCAATATGACATTTCTCATGAATATAAATTATTTTATCGGTCCTATTTTCCACATGTTCTACACACTTTGCATTTGAAAAATGCAAACACGCTGTCCGAGTTTTCCATCTCATTCGTGTTCTAAAGTATCGTATATTTATGTTCCTGTCTAGGGTTGACCTTTAGTTAAACGTTTATACTCATTCACTTATATTTTGTAGATGATCTAGACATTTGACCTGCATAGTTAATCGGACATTCAGGTCAAAATACTAAAAGAGAAAATTTGTACGCATATGATTTGTTTCAATTTAGACCACGAATTGCTATTACAGTTAGAACAGTATCGGCAGCTGTTTCGTCATAGTTTGGGACTCTTCAGTAGTACCCACTCACCGGGGTCTGAACCCCCAGACCAAATTTTGTTTATTGGATTTGTTAGTGCAAATGTTGTCCTAGTTTTTCCTCTCACCAGTGTTCAGTTCCTGTATGTGTTTTTGTTCCTGTATGAGTTAATCTCTTTAGGATAAGAAATATTTGTAGTTCTAACTGGTTTGATGCAGAGCTTTCCTCTCCTAAAATCAACGCTTACAGAAAACGGTTGCCTGAACCGACCGATGACAGAGACACGACAGATAAACAATCCAAACTAGTCACTAAATCTCAGTTCCAAAGAAAACTTCTTTCATCATTAATTTCAAATTCAACGGTAACCGGGCTTCAGATATACTCAAAAATCCTCTTTCTAAATCAGTTAGTAATATATTCTTTGATATGAAATAATAATTGACCTTCACCAGTTGTTGTTGTTGTTGTTCTCCGTCTGTGTAAAAGATAGGCTCACTTATCTGGTCGCCTCCATGTGCATCAATCAGTTAACCTGCTGTTGTGAAGCGAAGTAAATTAACCGTGACCAGAAGTTACTTTCCACACGGATAGGCGAACACATTCCAGCATGGTTTTACCAGGGTAGAATATGTAGGCTTTGAGAAACTCTGTTCTGGGATATTTCACTGACTGCTGTCATTCCACCAACTCCGATCATGATTCCTTTCTTTCTTTTCCATTTTGTTTATTTAGTTAATTTATGTACCTTTCATTCATTACTATGAATACTATTAATACTAATAATTTTCAAGTTAGACCACGGATTGATGTCAGTTAGAGAAGAGCCATTAAAAACCAGGGAGTACTGGATAGCTGTTGCATTCTAGTTTGGGACTCATCGGCAGTACGTACCCACTGGGTTTCGAACTCAACATCTTAAGGTCACAAGGCAACCTCGTAGACCACTCAACATCTGATACCCGACTCAGTAGCCCCATGAATTCTAACTTCTACCAGAGGGTGATTTTAGCGCAACCACCAGCGGTCATTGTGATCGGCGAGTATTTGTCCTTACTCTCGATCGGGTTTGTAGAAGTTAGAATTCATGCAGTGGTCGTTGAATCGGGTTCCAGTGCCTGAGTGGTCTACGATCTTGCCTCGTAACCGAAAGGCAGTGGGTTCGAACCCCGGTGGGTGCGTACTGACGATGAGTTCGAAACTAAGGGGACGAAACAGCTGTCCAGTACTCCTTGTTGGTTCTCAATGGTTCTCTAACTGATATCAATCCGTAGTCAAACTTTAGACAAATCAAATCCTTACTCCAGCTATTGGTGTGATCACTGGTGCCAGTTTTGATCGAAATATTACTAAAATCAAGGAAACAACAACTTATAATTCTATGTAAACAACCACTGATCTCTTCCACAATGCACTTTTCACAGATATCATGAAATATACCCATTGTCTTTGATTGGACACTAGTAACTAGTGTGACGTGTCTAGTCCTTTCTTTGGTGCAGACTGAATTCTCGCATCAGTCAGGTTTGCAATGTGGTCACCATTCTAGGTAGCTTGCCATCACGGTGCGCATTGGTTTGATGATATTAGATAGTTGGAGGCAATCAGCAGGAAGCCTTGGACCTAGGTTTCGTGCTAGTTGGCACTCGTCAACAAGGCGTATCTGGATCCCCAACGTAGTGTAAACAACTTACACACTATAGCGGAGCTTAGTCTAATCGTTATCCGAATAATCTTTCTGCTATTGTATAATTCTACAGGAACGTTAGTTCCAGCCAGTGTAGCTCGTTAATTCACTGTAATATACAGGCTCGACCACCACGTTTACCAATAGTCTCAAGTCCTTAGTTCTTTGTGTGTTGAGGACTGCAGTCCAGGAGTCTGCACCTCCCCTATGTGGCTCGAACCAACGGGGGAAGACGTGGACTGACTCCAGGTGTTGATTTGACCACCCTTAACTCTTTTGTGACCTAATCCTATATTGACCAACACTGCTTCTCATGGAAGGTGGTGGCTCGGCATGCATAGCAGGTGTCTTAGCTATTTCAATCCGTGTAGAGTCAAATACTGCCCTCAGGTCAAGAAATATAGACGCCAGTAATTAGTATGCCTATACCTCAGTATCTATTGACTGTTGAAAATATGATCTTCCTAGTCTCAAGAGCTTGATTGATTTTCTAGCAGTTTTTCTCTCCCGAGCACCGTTAATTTTTATTATTGAAAACACGAACCTGGTACACTATGTGCAGCATGAGTTGTTTATATGACGGCTGGGATACTACTTGATGAGCTCATCTGGTTACCTTTAGGCACAACTCCCCCCCCAGAACCTTTGCCTTGAAGTCTTATCCTCAGGGCAGTGGAGTACAGCGTTCCTATGGTGACTAAAACACGTTCATACACCTTTCAGTCCTTTTGGATTCTAGAGTCCATGTACACAGCATAGGTTTAGAATCCACCCCCACCTACCCCAAGATAGACTCTTGCATATCCAACAACCAGTCCAGTTGTAAGCACCAAAGGTTTGCTTTGGCCCTTTCATTTTTTTGAGAAACACTCCCGCTGTGGCGCATGGAGGCCAGTGAATACATCCACACAAAACAGCATTCTGAGAGGTAGTTTATAGTGGCAGGTCATTTATTGGGTCTTGCCATTATCCACTCAGTCACGTGAACACCGCTTAATCTAAACCATGTATTATTTCATATTGAGTTAATGTGTGTGTGTGTGAATTAAACCCTTTTCCTTTTATCCTGCACTATTCATTTCCGTATATACATTCTCTATCATCAGATGTTCAAGGTATCCTGCAACACTTATAACCTCACAAAAGTTGAAACGTGATAAACAAGCATCTTCAAAATCATCCTCTTATCCACAGCCAATGCTTATTGATACAGACGGGGAGAATAATATTAATAATAATAATAATAAGGATTTTATTGACGGTGACGATGAGTGTTCATTAAATGGTCAAAATTCATCAATGAATCCTAACAATAATAATAATAATCATAAACCTAAAGATGATTTAATTACATTTAAAAATTATCTAAATTTTTCTCGTTCAGTCTCATCTATTCTAGCACATCAAGTGAGTTGTGAATAAATAACCTTATGCCCCATTGCCCCTTGCATTAACCGGTTATACTTTTGATTACCGGTCACACCTATTATTATGTATGATGGTTATTATGATTGCTATTATTCTCTTGGGTTCCGAGTGGAACATACAGCTTCAAAAGCACGTGTTGCTGATTTTATCCAGTTCTGTGTAGGCCACTTTAACTGGCTCCATGATTGTCGATAAGCTTTCATCCCTGTCTCACACAGTCATGGCCAAATCATCATCACCTCAACATGTGTCCGATCCTTGTTGATTCTTTTTTGTTGGCTAATAGGTTATTTATTGGTTCGTTCTCAGAGTTCCTTGTTACTAATCCTTTTTGACCGGTCATCTGGTCTGCAGCATGAAGCTAAGGGAACAGTTGTTGATGGAAATCTGTAGAAAGACTTTGTGGTATAAGAGGGTGAGTAATATTGAGGTGAGGCATCGATCGAGTGCTAGGTAAGGAGGGAAGGGAAATCAATCGACGAGGTGGTTGTGAGGCAGCTGAATCGATTGAGATGGTTAGGACGTGTGTTACGCATGCACGCCTTGCCATCCATCGCTTTCCTCGACAATGGGCGATGTTAGCCGACATAGGATCGGTGAGGTTGGAAAAGAGCTAGCTACTGGTGGTCAAAGTAAAACATGACTTCACCAGTCAATCAAATCCACAACAGTTAGTTTAAGCCAGCTATGTAGGAAGATGTAGACTTCCTGACTGGTTGGAGTCCTCGAGACGGTAAACACCAATGGCGGCTGGAGACAATTGGTGATATGGCTGGCTCAAAGTGATCGTTCTCAGTGGCTGGTGCAGATGCATCCACCTCCCTGTGACTTATAATTTCCAATGAAACTATATTGTTCTTCGTTACTACTATTCCTTATGTCTCATATCTCTCTTTACTGTTTCTATTTTGAATTTCTTCTACTTTCTTCTCTTGCTTTGTGTGCTATATGGAGGGAGTGTGGCGACTCGAACTGCTGCACATCGGTGCAAAGTTCTATGTTGAAACCAGTCGGTCAGTCAGTCAGTCAGTCAGATGGAAGTCTTTAGCAGCCTATTAGAAATGAATTTTGTGATTTCGCGCGCGTCAAGTTTCTGACCCACTGTAGAAGAGCTGATTGACTTAACATTTGGTTTTGAAAATCTGAATTTTGTTTTTGATGCTTAGTGACGAAGATTTCCAGACTGATTTCAAGGCTATGAAGGTGTGGTCTGTCTTTTCGATTCCTGTAGTTGAAACAATGCTGTCTAGATATAGTAGAGGAAGTGTTGTTGTCCTAGTTGGTTGGTCATGTCCATCACCTCTGTTTTCTCTATGTCCACTTGAAGTCTTGTTTTTACTGCTTTTTCTGCCCACAGTGTTAGAAATCATGAAACTCCTTGAATGTGTATACTTCTGTAGCAGTTGTAGGGCAGGAATCTGGGGCTTATCGTTTCGAGATTTTGTAGTTCATTGGCTTATCGCGTCCGATTTAAAGCTAGTACATCCGAGTTTCTAGTTTCACCTGAGCAATTGAGTTAGTGTCATTAGGCCTCACACCTTGAATGTGGTGACTCATAGCTTTCTACATGGAATTCATCTATTCGGAGTAACTGGTTTTAAACAACAATAACAACATCACCAGCAATAGCACTCAGCGGATGGAAGCTGAGTGCTGCATTCATGGGCGTGTTTGACTTCTATCATGGGAAGTATTAGTGTGTTAACGTTTTGCGTCTCAACCGAGTCTGTTTCTTGCGTCCTTTTCTGTTTGAATTTCCTGTAATCTTCCTTTTTTATTATGTATGAAACTGATCGGTTACTAATGTGACTAATATTTACACAGTTCAAATGTTGCGCGCACCAAAGAGGGGGGGGAGGTTGTTCCTAAGGTCAGCAATCAGCCTTATGGAGTATCCTGCTGTATGAATTGTAGTAGTAGTAGGACTATTAGTTTCTAAGAGGATTAATTCAAACTCCGGTGGGCGCATACTGATGAAGAGTCCCAAACTAGGAAGAAACAGCTGTCCAGTACTCCCAGTTGGTTTTCCAATGGTTCTCTAACCAATGTCAGCTCATGATATGAAATCCTGTAACCAATCAATCAAAATCCCTACAAACCAATACTTTAACTATTTTAATTCAACCGGAGATGTCGTACAGAGTTTCACCGTACAACTTTTGCACAGAAGTCCAGCAGTTCATGTTGCCACACTCCGCATAGGATACAAAGGAAGATAAAAGAGACAGAAAAAGAGATTCAGAAACACGCGGATAAACAGAAATATGGAGGAGAAGGAATAGTAGCATGGAAAAACAGTAGGGAGATCACATGTGGTGAATTCATCTGCACCATAAATGAGGACGATTTTGACCCGTATCACCAATATTCTCCAGCCATTGACTCTTAGATTCCTGAAGATCTCAGCCAAGCAGTCTACGCCTCTTCGCACGTGGCTCAAACTAACTGTCAAAGAATTCATGGAGTGATCCCAAGTTTTGATTTGACCACCGCTAGGTCTTTTCCAACTTCACCGATCCTATGTCAGCTAACATTGTTGGTTGTCGAGGTAGGCGATTAGTGTAGCATCACAACCTTGTTGATTGACATACTCCCCTTACTTAATATTCGACATCACCTACATGGGAGACAGAACGTAGACACTTATGATCAAAGACAGGGAGTGGTAGGACCCAGTGTAAAATAGTATATCATCCTTTCTCATGTGTCGTGTGATTTATTATGTGATGGAGTCGATACATGATTTTGTGTGTGACCAATTCATCTTCCATTGTCTCACCTTGTTCTTTGTCTGATCACCAACCAATCAGGATAGATATTTCCAACCAATAAGAACAATGCATTCTAACGGTTGTGAGTCTACTTTATTGTGGTTAAGAGAATGTACAAATATCATGTGTTGTTTCTTAAACTATGTAGTATAGTACAGTATAGTATCTTACAGTCACAGACCAGCCATTTTCTTTTAATATTTGCGTGTCTCAGATAAGACGAAGGTACAACCGACCAATGGGCATATTAACGTGCCATTCAGATTCATCACCGTTATAGTATTAGACAGGCACAGATATAACAGAATAGCAACGGGTCTGTTTAGTTCAGTTATAACAGACAGTCTTTCCATATCTTCTACCTTCGATGGCCATCCTTCACAGACATAAAGCGGGACGGAGCGAATGGCTGCTCAGTGAAAGTGGTCGTCGCGCTCCATATGACTACATTCAACATAATGTTCACAGTTATTCTCGAATTATTCTTGCCTATTTCTAGAAGTTTTCATGTTCCTGTCGTTCTCCGGACATTTTAAAGCCTCTATTTCTCGTTCGCATAAGTTTCTTTCCCTCGCTTTATTCTGATATTTCAATGTCAACATACATAGTGCTATGCATAGCTTAGCATTTCTCATAACTGTTGTGCTTTATGCTATTTCTACACTGGGAATGACCTCACCAGGTGTTCATCTGTCATCTTTTCCCGAACACTTTTTAATTTATCAGACGTCGATCATCCATTTCGTTCTGTAGACGATGGATGTTGTACTACTGAGGACTTCATTCTGCTTGGTGGGATATTATCCTTCAGTTAATTTGCTGAAGTTCTATTAATTTCACTATTTTTCTATGTGTTTCGAAGTAGTTCATCGTGTCTGCATTTGGATATCTCGAATGGTGATTTCATAAACTTTAAAAAAAATATTATTTAAAGCAATCAGTTCCCTTGATGAATTTCGACAACACAATAAGAAGACGCAGTTTATCTGAAACGCGTAATGTGCATATTTGCGAAACACATTTCGGACATTCTGATCACACACACACGAGTACTTGTCATACGCAGTTTGTATAGACGGCAAGAAGGCATAATTAATTACAATACAGGTCAGATTGTGTACAGGTCAAGGTCACAAATAATGGGTAGGGAGACGTAAAGGTGTCGGTAAGAAAGATGAAAAGACAAAAAACAAAGCAAAGAAGGGATTGAAAATATTATGAAGTAAATTGAACCTTGGTTCTGAATTGGATTACCAAGGCAGGTTCAAAGTAATAACAAACAACTTTTGGACACATAAAACAGCTTTAAGCCTTTTTGTGACTAAAGCTTCAACGAATTTAAGCACGTGGCCCAACTTTGTTTTACATATGGGCTTAAAGGCATTGTTGAAGTCAACCTTATGACCGTCTCTATAATGTCCTTCGCTATAGATGATGTTGGACATCTATTTCCGGTGTCGATTGTGTCTGGCGATTTTACTTTTCGTTGCAGTCATCTGAAATGTGTTCTCTTGCCCTAACCTGCAGAGACCGATGGGTCCTCCCTATGTACGTGTCTCCACACATACATGAAAACTGATAAACACGGTGGGATGTGACACTATCGTTCGGATAATGTGAGGGTTTACAGGACAGCATAGTTCTCGTTTTCTCTATGAAGATAAGTTTAGCTGCATAATAAGTTCCATTATTTGCAGCGTTGAGTCTTTGTCTAGTGACCAGACTTTGTTGATCACCTCTGAAGAGCGAGGATATGTGAACATCATTTTTGGGCGCTGATTGGATTGATAGAGTTCTATGGTTGACACTTCTATAACACCTAATAAATCTCAGCGGGTAATTGTTATCTAACAATACTTCAGTGAGGTGTTGTCTTTCTTCTTCAATTGTATCGGGAGTACATATACGGTGAATGCGCTTGAACAAACACTTAACCAACGCCTTTTTTATACTGTAGTGGACAGAGACTATGATAATTTAGATAATGTCCCGTCAATGTGGACTTTCTGTAGACAGATCGTTTTACTGACCCATCTTCTCGGCGGGTTATGAGTACATCTAAAACTGGCAGGCAACCATTATTCTCTTTAACGTATGTTAGCGATATACTGTTGTGTTGTACTGTGTTGATCTGGTTTAGGATTTCTATGGCGTCTGTCGGTTTATCACAAACGACTATTATGTCATCTCCATATCTCTTATAAAAAT